CGGGCACGCTGGGCACGCTGGGGGTGGGGCCATGACCATCCGAGGGAAAACCATAGAGTTTTCCCTCTGATGACCGTGGCCCCGCCCCCAGCATGCCCGGCGTGGTCGCGTCACTTCCGGGTGACGTGCACGTCGGGGTGGAGTTCCCCCTGGGGCCCGATCCCCCGCTGGCGGGGAATGGGCCTCTCCCCGCCCCCCGGGAGGACCTGGCAAGCCTAATTCTGGGTATAAGCTTTTGTGTGCAGGCACACTTCTTATACCTGGGTTCTCCCCTTCTCGGTCTCAAGAAGTGTGCATGTACATGAAAGTTTATGCCCAGTATTAAACTTTGTCTTAAAAGTGCCACTGGACTCAAACTTTGTTCTGCTGCTTCAGACCAGCACGGCTACCCACCTGTATCTACCATCAAAACCATGTTGGTCACTAAGGTGCTACTGGACTCAAATCTTACTGGACTCAAATCTAACTGTTCTAATGCAAACATGGCTACTCTGTCTGAAACTCTCGGAGGTAGGTTGGCCTGAGAGAGGAAATTACCGGCCTAAAATCATCCATTCAGGTTTGTGACGGGATGGGGGATTTGAACTCAGATTTTGATTATATGTTGTCATTAGACTTGACTTCATGTAAGTGGTATCACATGGGCATGAGTCAGAGGCCTCAGCCGGGGGCGGATTACAAAGGCCCATCTGGTTGTCAGAAACATGGATGAGTGCCTGCTCTTTGCCATGGCGTCTTGACTGAAATTTCCCCAGAATTGCTGGTGGTAAGGCACTGCCAGGAAATAATAGCAGAATCCGCAGGAACAGACTACACAAGTGCTAACTGGAATGTCTAGGTCAGGAAGCAAAAGGCAAGTACAGGACTCCCTGGCCAATCGATCTGCAGGGTGGTCAGATCCTGACCCAGAGGTGTAACTTCAGATGTAGCCACTAAGGCCTAATTCCACTACCACCCTTCCCTGATTATTTTCCTTGCCTGGCAGTAGTGGGGGAAAGCTGTAGCTGATAGAGAAAAGGAAGGATCAGGAAGTGGCCCGGTTTTGACAAAGTTAAGCTGTAACAATCATTGTATGGCTGGCTCTGCCTCCTGCAGCAGCCATTTTTTGACAGCCATTTTATTGCTGTGCCCACCATGCCATGTCAGAATTCCAAATATTCCCACAGCGTCAAAAAGGTTGGGGATCCCTGGGGTAGAAAATGGGTATAGGGTTGCCAGGTTCCCCAGGGGGGCAAGGAAACTCCCCCTCGATGGTTCTGTTACCTGCCGGCCTGGATCAGGCCGCTGGGGGGAACCCCACCCCCAAAGCACCAGGATCATGGAGACGTGCCCGGCGTGATTACATCACGTGGAGGTGACGTCATCACGTCGGGCATGTTGCGGGGGGACGCTCTATCATTCGAGGGAAAACTCTATGGTTTTCCCTCGAATGATAGTGGTCCCGCCCCCAACGTGCCCGACGCGATGAC